AGCTTATTTTTCATATTGTGCGAGTTTTGCGCGTGCTTTGCGAACGTTCGCAACTGTTTACATCTGCGGCTGTCTGAAACTAGAGCATCAACTAACAAAGCATAAGTTAAGCTTTTTGCCTGGAGTTGTGAGTCTTCTTTCCTGGAGTCTATTTAATCTTATTCATAAACAACATTAAACTAACAACATAAATCTGGCGCAAAGTGCATCAAATATATTTGGTGCAAGTTCAAACACTCGCAATTGCTTTGATAAATTCGCCCCCCCCCCCCCCCCTAGTAGCTTCATAACATGGTACAAACCTACACAAGTTCATTTTAATTCCGGGATGTAATAAAAAAAGAAAAACGCCAAGGAGGTAAATACGTTCACAAAGCAGTGTACATTATTGGATTTTTTTTTTTTTGTAGGAGGACATGTGTTGTGACTTGTGCATTGAGGTGTGCAATTTACATATACCCATGTGTTTCAGTGATACAACACAATAGGACACACCCATATGTGAGCAATTAAAGTTTAAAATGGCTAACAGGTTCAAAGTAGGGGAAGCTGAGCTGTCTGAGTAATGGACTTAAAAGACTTCAATGCTTCTGCTGTGAAGTTTGGGGATCAATTGTTCCACATTATCCGCAGCTACAGAGGTCAGTGAGGACTTTTTATTATTCTAGGGCTGTCATATTTATCTTTATTTTACTACAGTATTTAGTCACTGACATAGGTCAAGCATGTGCATAACAGTAATCCAAACCCTTGATATAAGCATGCTTGTTCCAGGGCAATGATTGGCTTAATCCTGAGACAAGGATCAGGATGATAGCCTTAAGGGCAGGTTCACACCATTTTCTGGACCAGATCTGGAACGCACTGCGTTGCGTTTTGCCGCGTTTATACCTGCTCTAAAACGCATGCAAATGCCTGGAACGCTAAAAAAGCCCATGTTAAACGAAAAAAAAATATATATATATATATTTTTAACCAAAAACGACCCGGAACGCATCAAAAACGCGGCACAACCCACTGCACTGTGTGTGCAGAAACCTGAGTGGATCTGCTCTGCATTTGGTGTGAACAAGGCCTTAATTAAGCTGTATCTTCATTTTGCTTCACTGGAGTCACTGTATCCTTGTATAACAGCATTACAATTCTATAATGACATTTTGTTTTTATGGGTAAAATCTAAGAACTAAGAACAGACTGCAAATGTTTAGCTAAACTTTCCCAAGGTTATCTGAAAACTAAGAACCATCAAATATCCAAATTGTGTGTATGATGTATTTTATTTTAAAAGGAAAAAATCCAGTTTTGTCATGGAAGGATTTTTCCTCTAGAGTAGTGGATGGGGTGAAACTCTGCTAACATCTAATTACCATATACTCGAGTATAAGCCGACCCCAATATAAGCCGAGGTACCTAATTTTACCACAAAAAACTATTTATTTTAAAAGGAAAAAATCCAGTTTTGTCATGGAAGGATTTTTCCTCTAGAGTAGTGGATGGGGTGAAACTCTGCTAACATCTAATTACCATATACTCGAGTATAAGCCGACCCCAATATAAGCCGAGGTACCTAATTTTACCACAAAAAACTGGGAAAAAATATTGACTCGGGTATAAGCCGAGGGTGGGAAATGAGGCAGCTACTGTTAAATGTACAAAATGAAGATAGATACCAATAAAATTACATGAATATTTATTTAAAAGAAAAACAATAACCTAGCTCTGTAAGTGGAAAAGGGGGTACAGGGCTACATATCATGTACTACGGATCATTTAACCCATTCATATTAGCAGAGGATAATTGTAAATCTATTGTTCAGTGCACTCTATATGTAGTATATAGTACATGTACATATAGAGTGCCTGCAACAATACATTTACAATGATCCTCTGCTAACATGAATGGGTTAAATGATCCATAGTACAGGGCTACATACAGATCATTTAATCCATTCATGTTAGTATAATTGTAAATGTATTGTCTGCACTGTATTAGCAGTATATACTCTATATAGAGTATATACTGCTAATACAGTGCAGACAATACATGATTGCTTAATAAATC